CTCTAGGCCCGAAACGTCAACCTTCCTGCTCCATGATGCTGCTTAGCCTGCTGTGTTCATCCAGCTCTACATCAATATAAGGGCACCTCTAATAGAAAAAAATGATAATTGAAAGTTACTTGATAATTTGGATTTATTTAATAATAAGGATCAGGGTTTTGAATAGGTCCTTTGTGCCATGAAACTATTTAGGAGCAGCAGTGGGTGTAAAGACCTTAGCTGTTTACATGTCAAGTATCGGTCAATCCAGAATTTTAAATGCTGATCATCAGCATGCCAGTAAAACTTGACATGAGCATCCATAGAAATAAATTCTTGATACTTTGTTGTTCTTTTTTTAAAAAAGTAATGTAACACCAGATTATTTCACCAGAGAGCATCTAATGAGTTGAAGCTTCCTCCAGTGGCAGAAAACAGGCACTGCGGTATTTTTATTACCTCATTGGGCAAAAGATATGTGCTTTAAAGAGTACATTCCTACGACTTGTACTTACAAAATGTCAGGAATTTAGTTAGCCATTTAACCACTGGATTATCAGTAGAAAATTTCCTCAAGCCTATATCCTAAATGTAAGTCCGAAACTTGTGCATCTGTATTCCCAGTAATGTCAGGATAACATTAGTTTTGTTACTTCTTTATATAGTCTTGGGATCTAGTTCAACAGACCCAGAATTACCTGAAGCTGCTTATTCATACAATAAATCGAGATGGTAAGTTTTTATTTTGATTGACATTTCATTTGAAAGTGCTAATATGATCTAGGATAAAAACCATGTCTCCTGACAGAGTGGTGCAGTGTGTTACAATGTCATCCTTAAGCGTTAGTACAGAAACTGGCGCTTTGAATTTAAATTATAATTTCTTATCTAAATTTTACCTTTGATGTCAGTGCCCTGTTCTAATCTTTGTTCCTTCCTTCGGACAGGAGACGGCGGTTTGTTAGTGCACTGTATTTCTGGCTGGGATCGAACTCCACTCTTTATTTCTCTCCTTCGTTTGTCACTGTGGGCTGTAAGTGCACCTGCTCTTTTAGCTTTTCTTAGCTGTAAGTGTTATTGCAACATCAAAAAAAAATCAAATTTGCATTTATCAGGATATTTTTAATCGGAGTTTTAATTACCTATATGTTTATGCTAATAAAAACCAAAAGAACTGCGGATGCTGTAAATTAGGAACAAGAATAGAAGTTGCTGGAAAAGCTCAGGAGGTCTGGCAGCATGTGAAGAAAAAATTAGAGTTAATGTTTCGGGTCAGGTGACCCTTCTTCAGAACTGATGATAGCTGGGAAAATGAATCAGAGATAGTAGGAACTGCAGATGCTGGAGAATCCGAGAGAACAAGGTGAATCAGATGAAGGGTCTAGGCCCGAAACGTCAGCCTTTCTGCTCCTATGATGCTGCTTGGCCTGCTGTGTTCATCCAGCTCTACACCTTGTTGTCATGGCTGGGAAAATGTAGGTTTATATGCAGAAAGTAGGGAGGGGGATGGACTAGGGAGTAAACAATAGGATAGAGCCCAAAGAGAGAGAAGAGCAGTTGGATAGACAAAGGAGTTGATAATGATCTGGCTAGGAGAGTGAATAGTTGTTAATGGGGGCTGTTAGTCACTAACAATAGGTAGTGTGGTTGTGTTTATGCTAATACTTTGTTTCTCCTTTAAATATTTCTGAAAGCGCTAATGCTAGTTTCTACTAAGCAGTGTTGTTATATGTAAGCTACCAATCACTTAGTTTTTAGCTTTATTTAGTCAAATTAGAGATCAGATTTTTTTTAATTAATTGCTGCTTCAGTATTAATTAGCTGTCTTAAAGTTTTCCCAGCTGCTTTTGTATTGTTGTAGGTTTTTTTTTTAATATTGCTGGTTTGAAGAGTGATTGCTGTTGATTTATTCAAAGGGAGGGTATTGGGTTCTATTTCACACACAGCCTATCCTTCTTCAGATCTTGATTCCATGAACTTCAGTTCTGAGGGGCCACGTTGGAAGTCACAGATAAACATTGCCTTTTTAAAATAATCAAAGTTCTTTCAGAAAAGAAAACAGTAGGTGAAATAATGATCATAGAATCTGCTGTCAAATCCTGCGGTGATTTATAACACAGTACAATCATTCAAAGAGCAGATATGGGGCATAGGCTGTGCTGAAACAGGTCACCTCCCCTCAATACCAGATTCATACCCAATGATAGAAAACATTTGTGTCTGTAATTGTCTGTGCATTTGTAATGAAGTAGGAGCTCAACATTATCTATGTAACTTGAGTTTAGCTGTAAAGGATATTCAGACTCTTTACTTAGAGCTACATGAGATTATTTCTTCATTGGGCAACATTGTTCAATCTCTTTCTTTCTTATCTTGAAATTCCTAACCCTTGTCTTTTTGTGCATAAGAATTGTGAATTAGCAGATACCGTTCTGCTCAATGAAACAGTCCCACTATGATTAATCAAGCCTACTTTATCCAACATCTCACTATACCCATCAATCTCTCTTTTCCAGAATCATACCTAACATTGTTAAACCCAATTAAATTACCGCTTCAGCTTCTCTGGCAACTTACTCAATAAATCATTGCCCTTTTGAGTGGAAAATTCCCATTGGACTTCCCTTCCGGACTTGTAATTTTCTAGACTTCAACTTTGATTTCTGAACCCTTCACCACTCTGGTTAGTTTTACGTTATTCGGCTTTATTGATTCCAATTAGTATAAAATAGCAATTTATTGTCACTCGTCTTCATGAAAATCCAGTGAGATGTGGATAAGTTGCCATAATACAGCACCATTTTAATTATATTGAAATTAAAAACAGAAATTATGAAAGTAATGGAAAAAAACAAAGTTAGGGCAAAGTTCATCTTTTGCTCCCTCACGGCTCCTGGGTTTCTGAAGCATCTATGGGACGTCACCACTGAAGCCGCCCCTTAGGCTACCAGAGCAAGGATTTCCAGACTGGACCCACCACACTACCATCACTGAAGCCAACACCGAAGCCACTCCATCGCCGCCATAGCAAGGAGGGACAAATTGGACCGACCAAGTTGCTGATGCTGAAGCTGTACCACTTCAGTCGCCGTCCATAGCCACCACATTGCTGCCTGGCCACGAGGAAGTGAGGAACGAACCAAAACCACCATGTTGCCACCACTGAAATTGCCGCACTGCTGCAAGGAGGAACAGGCCAGACCTACTGATGATGAAGCCTTCGATATGGCCACGAGGAATGGACTTACGGGTCCACTGTGCTGCTATTGCTGCAGCCGGCCTTCGTAATTGGCTTCCTCCCTTGCAGTCGTAGAGAGGAGAAAAAGGTGAACTTTGATATAAAAGAGAAATGAAGAAATAAAACAAAGAAGAATGCAGCTGGCCAGGTCAGTGGGAGCATATGGGCACAGAGGCCAAATGCTTCCTGCCCTGCTGCTGCCATCTTGAATTTACTATTGAATTGTGCAATCTTCAAAAATTTCACGATCAATTTTTCCTGCACGCTGCTTTCCTAAAGGAAGTAAATTAAATGCCTTGATTTTTCTCCTTGTGTAAATTATTGCTATCTGTAGTCATCATCATTGATTTTCTATTCCATTACCAAGGGCACTGAGTAATCCATTAACATTTGTCCTCAATTCTAATACAGCTGTTGGAAGTGGACATTCTTGAATTTCCTATTATGTATGGCATTGGAAATATGAACAGAAGTAGGGAGTGTGGTGCTTTGAGCCCATCCTGCAATTCAGCACGATCATGGCTGATCCTCTATCTTAATGCCTTTCTCTGATTCTCTCCCCATACCCTTTGACACCTTTAGCCTCTAGAAAATCTATCTATTTCTTTCTTAAATAGATTAGTGACTTCCTCTCACTACCTTTTGTGGCAGAGGATTCCACAGGTTTACCACCTTCTGAGTGAAGAAATTTCCCTTTATCTCAGTCTGAAATGGCCTACTATGTATCTTGAGACTGTGACCATTTGCCCTGGACACTTTGGCTGGAGGAAACATCATCCCTGCATCCAATCTAATCTACCCCTGTCAATTTTATACAATTCGATGAGATCTCCATTTCTCCTTAAATCCAGTGAATATAAACGACTCCACCAGTTAACCAAATTTGTCCCCGTACAGAGAATCTGCCATCCCAGGAATCAGTCTGGTGAACTTCTGTTATATTCTTTCTATGAATAGCTGGGGCCCAAGCACTGATCCTTCTGGTACCCCACTTGTCTCTACCTTTCACTAAGAAAATTGACCATTTATTCCTACTCTTTATATGCTGTCTGCCAACCAAGTTTCAATCCAAGCTGGTATATTATCAACAATTCCATATGCTTTGATTTTGTACAATAAGTTCAAATGTGGGACTTTGTTAGAAACTTCCTGAAAATCCAAATACATCACACCCACTGGTTGGGTTATCTGTTCCAATTGTTAGGTCTTCAAAAACTACAATAGGTTCGTCAAAGACGATTTCCCTTTCATATATACATGCTGACTTTGTATAATGCCATTTGTATTTTTAAGTGTCCTGTTGCTGCATCCGTCCAGCTTTTTCCCTACTACCAATGTGAGGCTAACCAATCTGTAATTCATGGCTTTTTCCTTCTCCCCTTGCATTTTTATCGTCTGATCTGCTGGGATTGTTTCAGAATCTGCAAAGTTTTAGAAGCTGACAACCAATACATCCACTATTTCCACGGCCACTTCATTTAGTAGCGTGGGGTGTAGATTATCTGGGCCTGGCATTTTATCAGCTTTTAGTCCCACTAATTTCTCTAACACTTTATTTTAAAAACTAATCTTAATATCATTTAATTCCTCCTTCTCCAGAGACTCTTCTTTCCCTAGGATTTCTGGGAAGCTTTTTTTTACAGAAGACACTTAAAATAGTTGTTGAGCTGCTCTGCCATTTTTTTGTTATCTATTATCAATGCTCCTGGTCCAGACTCTAAATGACTAAAGACATTTGACTACTAATTTTTTAACATGCTTATAGAATATTATGTAGTCTACTTTTGCCTCTTGCAAGTTACCTTCATGTTTCATTTTCCCCCTAATAATTAACCTCTTGGTATTCCTTTGCTAAATTCTAAACTGCTCCCAGTCCTCAGACTTGCTAGTTTTTCAAGTAACTTTTATATGAATCCTCTTTGGATCTAATATTCTCCTTTATTTCCTTTGTTACCATGGTTGGGCCACATTTCCTGTCATGTTCTTCCTTCCAAAAGGAATGCAGTGCGCATATTTTCTCCTTAAATATTAATGGTTGCCTGTCCACTGTCGTGCCTTTTCGTGAAATTACCCAGGCTATTTCAATTAACACAGCCCTCATTGCTTTCCAAGTGTACTTTATGTCACTGAATAAAATTAAGTTGTAGGTATTATCATCGAAACTTTCATGGTGGACAGTCATGTAGAAATCTAAGTGCGTTTTACTTTGTAAACTCAAAGTTAAATCAAGATTGATGTGACAATATTTTTTTCCCCATTCATTTTCTTCCATTGTTTTTCCTGACTTCTGTTCTTGCAGATAGTGGGGAAAAAAAACACTTCCCAGCCTCAATTCTTGCCTGTCTGAATCTAGATGCCATAATTCTCAATAAATGTGATCCATCAGTCCTTTGCAACCAAAAATCATAAGGCACTTAGGGGACAAAATAAAATGAACTGAAACTGTGCTTTAGTGATACTAAATGGGAATAAATCTTGAATTGTCATGATTATTCCATGTATAAGACCTCCCTTAGGAAAGATTTTATGTCTGTATTCATCTCTACTGTCACTTGAACGTTTTGTGAGTAATTTGACAACATTTACAAAGGGCTCTAATCTAGAGGCAGCAATAGAATTGCACTGGGAATCTTCACCAAATCACTTGGCCTATGACCAACTGATATTGGTAAGTCATAAACTCTGGTGTCAAGACAAAATTTTCAGAGAGCCCTCAGAGGATGCATCTGAGAATTGTCACAGATGTGTATATGGAACTAAATATTGACTGTAGGATAGGTTCAGACTGCTGAAAGGCAAATTGATTGCTATATCCAACAGGGTTTTCCGTACTGAGTGATCAGCAAGTGAGTTACATTTCCAGGTGGGGGAAAATAGGCAAAATGTAATTATTTAAGAACTAACTGGATATTTTGATCAGGTTGCTATAGATTGGCAGAGATGGGATTAAAGGCTATTCATATCTGTACTTGTATGTTGTTTGTGGCAAAAGATATGTGGCAGATGAAATTCAACCCAGAAGTGTGAAGTAATACGTTTTGGTAGGAGGAATGAGGACAGCTATTAGGAACTAATTGGTACAATTTTAAAAGGGGTGCAGGAAAAGAGGGGCCTGGAACAGTATCTTTGAAGGTGACAAAAACAAATTTTTACTAGTTTAGCTTAACTTGCTTCCTAAACAGCAGCAAAACACTGAATGTAGCCTGGAGATTCATCTGTGTAGATCTTCTCTCAGTTTACATTTAAATTACCGATTAGTTGATTTGAAAGTTTCTATTGAAAATGTAAGTTGGAACCACCTCCGTAGATTAAATGAATGTGTCACGACTTGCTTCTTACAGGATGGACTTGTTCACACTTGCTTGGAGCCTGTGGAAATCCTTTATTTAACCATTGCTTACGATTGGTTCCTTTTTGGGTGAGTTTGTTTCGTATTCATAACAACAGGGTTAGCACAGTAATTAGGTGACAAATCTAATGATGTGCTTTCCAGAGCAAGCAAAACATTCGTGCAGTCTGGCAGGATTTTGTGAAATTCTGAGATATTAATATTCTGTGTTTTACAGCTGTCAAATTTCTTGCTTAAAGCATAGAATAATACAGCACAAACAGAGCTCATTCAGTTCGTCGTGTCTGTGCAGGCACGTTGATAGAGCTGCCTGATTAGTCCCATTCTCATGTTCTTTTCTATTAGTCCTGTAAATTATTTCAAATTGATATTTATAGCTTTTGAATGTTGAGAATCCCTGATTCTTTTGCCAATAATCTCACATCGTGTCTTCTGGTTACTGACTCTTTGGTCTTCAGAAATCGTTTTTCTTTATTTACTAAAACAAAAACTGTTCATGATTTGGAATACTTTTATCAAATCATACTTCCTCAGTCTCACCACGTAATTTAAAAGTCCCCACTCATGGTAGCCATACCGTTTCTTCTCTGAGACTTTGATATCCTTGCTAGAGTGTACGTCCAGAATGGAACACATTATTCATGTTGAGGTCTAATCAGAGTTTTTACAGGTTTAGCACAGTTTCCTTCTTTCCTCCTTGTGCCCTATGGCTCTGTTAATAATGCAATGATCTCATGTGACTTTTATAAAGCACTTTCTCATCTTGTCTTTGCCACCCTCAAAGGTACTGCCTCAAGCCTCCCTTTTCCTTCACCCCTTTAAAATTTGTGCCATTTAGTACATAATAGTTCTCACATTTTGGTAGGAAAAAAATGATATCACTTCACAATTGAGTTTAATTTCATTTGCCCACGTGTCTGCTCATTTTTACCAGTCAGTTCCACCTGAATTTTGTTACAGCTGTATTTTGTTTTTAAGATTTTAAAATTAAACCTTTTAACTGAAGTCCAAGTTATACATCAAAAATAGTGGTATTGTCACTAGACAAGTAATCTAGGAGCCCAGGCTAATATTTGGAGACAGGTGTGCAAATCCCACTGTGGTAGTTGATGGAATTTAAATTCAATTCATAGATCTAGAATATAAAACAGCTGTCAGTAATTGTGACCATGATGGCTATTGTCAACTGTTGTAAAAACCTATCTGCATCGCTAATGTCCTTTTGGAAAGGAAATCTGCCATCCTTATCTGGGTTGGCCTTCATTGTTCTCCAGTCCCACAGTAATGTTGATTTTTAACTGCCCTCTGAAATGGCCAGCACTCAAGCCACTTAATTCGGGGTAGGCAAAGGGTGAAGAATTAGCCATTGGAATATGTAGATGACGCCTAATGAGCTGCACTCCCATCCAAGGAGGTTTCCATGCATTTTATAAATAAGTTTTCAAACTTTAGTTAACAGAATTTGAGTACTCAGCCCATCCAATTAGTCAAAATGTTATAATCTAAAGAAGGGGAAGTTGACCGTTCTGCTGTAACTTGTATCATCATTACAGACAAATTTAACCCATTACATAGGTTCAGTCATCTGTATTTCTATTTGCAGGCACATGTTGGCCGATAGGCTCAGCAAGGGAGAGGAGGTGAGTCAAAAACTGGAGAAATTGCTAATTAAAGATGACATTTACATGACTGCTTTGGGTTACCCAATTTTAGTGTTATGTAGGATTAGTTTGATAATCTGCTACCATATTGTATTTATCAACCTAACTGCAGTAAAGCTGAAAATTAGTTGATTTATAAAGATTTATGCTATGACCAGCCGTGCAGACATTTATATTAGTTTAAAAAGCATCAGTGCATTGCATTGTGAATATTGCTGTAGCTTGCAAAATTGCTCCTGGAATATATGGCATAAAGGATCTCTTGTAAGCACAGAATTCAGCTCACCTTTATTTTGGAATTTTAGGTTTTCTTTGATTGTGTGCGAATGTAGGGAAAAGTCTGAATTTTGCCTCCATTAAGGATAAAAGAATGGTACATCGTTAGATGATATTTAGTCAAATTGTGAAAACTTGTTTGCAAAACTGGATCCTACCACGAGATGGTGCTTTTACACTACTTGCAGTATTTCCATGAACAATTTACATAGTGCAATACTGCCACCTGCTGTGGGAAACCAGCATTATTAAATTCAAAAACAGTGGGAAATCAGAAATAAATAACAGAAAATGCTGAAGTACAGAACGGGATTATTGGTTTTCAAGCATTAAATTGAACTTCTCTTTCCAGGTGGTAGCAGTCCTGCCGTGTATTTCCAGCATTGTCTGTTTTTAACCTGATTTATTTTCAGCAAAAAGTTTTGGGGGGGAGCTTTGTAATTGTGAGGAAGCCAATTTTGAGGAACGTTCTAGATATAAAGCAGTTTTTGTTCTGTATATTGAATTATTTTTGAATACATCAGTGTGTATAGCCTTGCATTCTCAAAGCTGGGATTGTGTTGTTGAGCAGTTGTGGGGGATCGCACAAGGGATCCTGAAATCTAAAAACAAATTTCCGTTATTTTCAGATTTTCTTCTTCTGCTTCAATTTTTTGAAGCACATCACCTCAGAAGAATTCTCTGCAATAAAGAAACCCAGGTAGGAGTTTTTTTTTTTTGCAGGATTAGTGTAAAGAGAAATCAACAAACACATGCTGCAATGATAAAAGGAACAGAAGTAGGCATTCAGCCTCGCAAGCCTATTTGTTAAGTCAGTGAAGTATTTCTGATGTGTGACCTAAATCCATAAACTTTCTTTTGCCCCACCTCTATCAATATCTGGTTAACCAAAATATATTATTCTCCATTACTAATACACATGGCATCAATTATTGTTTCTGGCAGACAATTCTAAATATACCATCCTTTGTGTGTAGAAATTTTCCTAGTGTACTCCTTTAAAGGCCTGCCTCTAACATTTAGACTATGCCTACCTAACCTTAAAAACCTTTCCTACCAATAAGCTGCAAAATAATTTATACCTGTGTGTTTCTCTTAATATCTTGAAAACTGTGCTCAAATTTCCCCTTAATCCCCAACTTTCGTGAATGAAGAGATAACAGGGTGTAGAGCTGGATGAACACAGCAGGCCAAGCAGCATCAGAGGAGCAGGAAGGCTGACGTTTCGGGCCTAGACCCTTCTTCAGAAATTCTTCGTGAATGAAGCTCTGTTTTGTGTAATCTCTCCTCATAATTTAACTTTTGGAGTCTGGGTATCATTTTGGTAAACTTGCACTGCTCTCACTCCAATGTCAGTATATCCTTCCTAAGGTTTAGTCACCAAGACTTCTCGTGGTACTCCAGCTTGGGACTAAGAAGTGCTTTGTATAGCTGGAGCATGAATATTGTATTCTAGTCTCCTCAGTATAAAGGTCACCGTTCAATTAGATTTTTTGATTATCTTGTATCACTGTTTGGGACACTCAAGCCTCTTTGGACCTCAACTGTTTCTAGCTTTTCACATTAGCCTGTATTTTTAAAGTCCGAAGTGCCTGCACAGAAATCCATTTGCCGTGGTTTGCCTTTCACTTTACCTATTAAAACAGCTTTGTAGCAAGAGTAGTAAAGGTAAAGAAAGCAATGCAACAAATCAAACAAGGAAACCTGTGGCACATATTAGTTTGCTTCATTCTTTCATGGCATCTAAGTATTGCTGGCAAGGTCAGCCCATCCCTCCAAAAAGACGGTGGTGAATTGCCTTCAATGAACCACCAAAGTCCCTTATGTAGGTTTAACCACAGTGCTGTTTGGAAGAGGAGGGTCAGGTCTCTGACCAGCCGCAGTGATGGACCGACGATATAGTTCCAGATCAAAATGGTGTGTGGCTTGGAGGGGAACTTGCAGGTGTTGTTGTTACCATTCTGCCCTTGTGTTCTAAATGATGAAAGTCATGGATTAGAAGATGATATTGGAGGCTGATTAAATTGGTATGGTTCATCCTGCATTTGGTACACTCTGTTGCATTCTGCACCACTAATGGTTGAAATGAATGTTAAAGGTGGTGGGTCAGGTGCCAGTCAAGTATGTTGCTTTGTCCTGGGCGGTGTCAAATCACTTCAGATTTATTGGAACTGCGTTCATTATGGCAAATGGTGAGACTGTCATTGCATTCCTTACTTGTGCCTTATTGATGGTGAACAGGATCTGGCAATCCAGAGGCAAGTTACATGCCACAGAATCCCTAGTCTTTGATCTGTAGTTTAGCTGTAGTATTTAAAAACCTGGTCCAGTTTATTTTTTACTCAATGTAACCCTCCATGATGTTGATAGTACGGGATTCAGCGATGGTGATGCAGCAGCATCACCAAAGGGAGATGGTTAGGTTATCTCTCGTTGAAAATTAACCAGTATTTGTTAGACACCACCAGTAACTGCCAGATATTGGTCCAAGCCCTATTTCAGTATCCGATGAGACAAAAATGAGATTGAACGTGGTGCTGTCATCTTAAGGGAACAACCCCACCTCTGAGCAAATGATGGATCAAAGGTCTTTGATGAAGCAACACAAGATAGTTCCTTTTAGGATAATTCATTGAAGAGATGCTGTAGCATTGTGCTGGTACTGAGAAACAAAGGCAAGTGCAACCATCTTTTACTGTACTAGATATGACTCCAACCAGTGGAGAGTTTTCCCCTTGATTCCCATTGACCATTGTTTCCACTGATGCCACACTTGTTCAAAATATGCCTAAGATTGAGGGCAGTCACTTTGATGTTGTGTCTTCAGTTCAATTCTTTTGCCCATGTTTACACCAAAGCCTCAATGCGATTTAGAACCAGAGGACCCTAATAGAACCCAATAGAGTATCATTAAGTATTTTATTGCTGAATAAATTTCACTTGATTAGCATTGCTAATAATCTAGAATAAATGAACGGGACAGTAATCGATTAGATTAGATTTGTGCTGCTTTTTGTGAACAGCATATACTAGAGCATTTCTACATTGTTGGATGGATGAGCTTGGCTAGGGAGACAGCTGGTTCTGAGGCTGATGTCATCAAAACTGTTATTGTGATGTTGTTGGGGCCCTTAAATTTTGCTGTATCCAGTGCTTTCAACTATTCCTTGATGTCATGTGGTACTTAAGAACTAGGAGCAGGAGTAGGCTATCTGGCCCCTCGAGCCTGCTCTGCCATTTAATAAGATCATGGCTGATCTTTTTGAGACTCAGCTCCACTTCCCGCTAACTCACTGTAACCCTTAATTCTTTTACTGTTCAAAAAGTTATCTAGCCTTGTCTTAAAAACATTCAGCGAGGTAGCTTCAACCGCTTCACTGGTCAGGGAATTCCACAGATTCACAACCCTTTGGGTGAAGAAGTTCCTCCTGACCTCAGTCCTACATCTGCTTCCCTTTGTTTTGAGGCGATGCCCTCTAGTCCTAGTTTCACCTGCTAGCGGAAACCACCTCCCTGCCTCCACCTTATCTATTCCCTTCATAATCTTATATGTTTCTATAAGATCTCCCCTCATTTTTCTGAATTCCAATGAGTATAATCCCAGTCTATTCAGTCTCTCCTGAGTAGATAATATTGCCTGAAGACGGGCATCTGTGATGCTGGGGATCTCAGCATGAGGCCAAGATGGATCATCTGATTGACAGTTCAGGCTGAAGCTGCTTACAAACACTTGAACCTTGTCTTTTGCACTGATTTGCTGGACTCCCCGTCATTGAGGATAAGGATATTTGTGGAACCTCTTTTACTAAGTTAGATGTGACAGGACTTGAGAACTTTAATCTAATCCATTGGTTGTGGTTTTGCTTAGATCCATTGATTACATGTTGCCTCCCCTTTTAAGCATTCATGTAGTGGTACCAACTGAGTTGTGTTTTGGCAAAGTGTTTGGCAGGTACAAGAGTTAGTTGATTTTTTTTTTTAAACCAGAGAATTAGATAGTGGTCTCAAATGGTCATTAATATTCTCCAAATTAGTTTTCACAGCTAATTTGCCTTATATTAGGAAAACCAAATATATATCAATTTAGTTCCTGTGAGAATCTGACCTTTGTTCACTTCCTTCTCTTAGATTGCATCAAATGTTACATAACTTTAGTGTTTGGTGCAGAGGTTAAATTCAAGTCCTTTACCTTATCCATTAACAAGAGAACTCACTTCAAAATCTGTAACATTACCCATTTCTGCCCTTAAAGCACCCTTCTGCCGCTGCCGAAATCTTTATTTTTATGTTTTCATGACCTCTGCGCCTTACTTCTCTCTATACTGCCTTGTCAGGCTCCTGAATTTCTAATCAATCCAAATCTCCACCTCCTGTGCTGCAATGGATTCTTGTCTCCCTTCACCATATTCTTGCCAATCATCACCGCTTATTTAAGCCCCACCCAATAATACTGATTTCAAAAGCTTTATTCACAAAATCCCTTCGTGTTCTTGACCCTATTTACATTTAGTCTTCCCCAGTCTTTTCCACCAACTGCAACCTCAGATGGAGTTCTGCCTCTCCTTCCTATTCTTTTTGAACTCTTTCCCAAAATCTCTTGACTTACTGCTTCTCTTCCTGCCTTGAAAAGTTGCTGCATAATCTTCGTCTGTATTTTTAGTTTCTCTCCTAACTTGACATCTGTCTCTCACCATGCAAGGTGCCTTGGGATGCTTATTGTGTTAAGAGGTGCAAATTGTTGATTCTCAGTGACATATTGCTTACCTTGTGTGAACAGAATGTTCCACTTCATGGAAGGAAAGTCTGAAAACATCTTGGAGCAATAAGTATGACCCGACAGTCAAAAGTCTAGCAATATTAGCAGCAGATTAATACAATCTTGGAAGAAGATTGGAAAATATTTGGGAGATAGGAGCTGAGCTTTAATTCCAAATGTGGCTGTCATATATTACATTCATGTAGAAGAGATCACTGTAGAAATTTATACTGTGATTATAATGGAAGAAAGCAGGTTGGAGGGGAGAGAATCTGGCTATATCGCCACTCAGTGGTTATGATGTAATAGCAACAAGAGATGAATATTTAATAATGCAACATCTGCTATACAACTAGCCTTCTGCTAGTACTTTACTTTCTTTATTGACCCACCCAGCAGGAGGTGCTTAATGCTGTTAGTAGCAGGGTTTCATATTGAAAAAATGCCCTGAAGTAGGAAGCTAATTTCTAATTTTCCAGAAGTTGATCATATTTAAATATTTCCATAAGGTAGGTAAGCAGAAAAATGTTTTCTCCATATCACGTTTATAGTTTTGAATTATGCATACTTTTTTTTGTTCTTATTCTTTCCCTTTCTATGACTGACTCTTTCTCTTCTGCTGTCTTGAGGGTTGTATCCATGGTTCAAGTAGGTATCCAAAAACACCTAAATTTGATTCATAATATCAAAACATGAAGTATGTTTGGAAAAAAATGTTTCAGTTTCTAATTTATTGCACAGCCTTACAGCTCTTCAGATTTCTTACCCACTTCTCAGAATCTGCTGAATATTGCCTTGTGACACCAACTGTAGCCCTAACCCTAATCTAATCCTATTTTTCACCCTCAATCGTTAAGTCCAGATCAATGCATGTCGTAAATATGAGTGAAATCATCACATGATTTTGTGAAACACTATTTGCAGTGCTGTCCGTGAGACTTGAATTTACCTGCTTCCTTCCAACATGTCCATTTCCACATTCCATAAAGTGTTTATCTTTGCTATAATTGTGGGGTTCATCATGAAAAAAGTTTTGAACAGATCTGTGTAAATTTGCTTTTGTGAGCCAAAGAAGTAAAATCTCCAGTCCTTTTGCTATGTGTGAATGTACATTTTCCCTTGCAGAAGAAAGGCCGCACACTATAAAGAAGCTCAGTTCCCAATAGAAGATCTCTGTCTACTAGGTAAGTACAACTACTCCCCACATCCTTCTAAATCTAAAGAGAAGCAGCTTCTTATGGTCTAGATTAGAGCTGTACACTTCTTTATTCAGAAATCTAATGCATTCCTTGTACCAGGAAATGCCAGAAATGATTTGACATCTGCACAGTTACAAAATTTGTATAGGCTGACAAGTTACAGAATAACTGGAACATAGCAGTGAATGTGATAGAGGTCTTTGCTGTATGTTGCAAGTCACAGTGGATTGCTGGAAGGTGAAAATAAATGAAGCCAGATACCCATGCATGTTTAAATGTAGTATAATTGTTTCTACTACCTTTAGTAATCATTTTCTCCACACATTCAACCAAGATGTTGTGATAGAAGTCGAATTTTGCAATCACAAGGCACTGACTAGAGTTCTTGGAAAATGAAACATTGAGATATTTGTATCATTGATAGCCACGGGCGAGGTGCCGAAAGACTGGAGGGTGGCTAATGTGGTGCCGTTATTTAAGACAGGTAGCAAGGAAAAGCCAGAGAACAATAGATCGGTGAGGCTGACATCAGTGTTGGAAGGGATTCTGAGGGACAGGATCTACGTGTATTTTGAAAGGCAACTACTGATTAGGGATAGTCAACATGGCTTTATGCGCAGGAAATCATGTCTCACTAAGTTGATTGAGTTTTTATGAAGAAGTAACACAAGATTGGTGAAGGCAGAGCGGTGGATGTTGTCTACATGAACTTTAGCAAGATGTTCGAGAAGGTTGCATATGATAGACTGGTTTGCAAGGTTAGATCACATGTAATCCAGGAAAAACTAGCCATTTGGATACAAAATTGGCTTGAAGGTAGGAGCCAGAGGGTGGTGGTAGTGGGTTGTTTTTCAGAGTGGAGGCCTGCGACCAGCGGTGTTCCGCAAGGATTGGCACTGAGTTCACTGTTTTTGTCATTCATAGAAATTATTTGGATGTGAAATATGAGGTATCCTTAATAAGTTTGCAGACGACACCAAAAGTGTTGGTGTAGTGGACATAGAAGAAAGTTATCTCATAATAAAACGGGACCTTTATCAGATGGGCGACGGGCCAAGGTGTGGCAGTTGGAGCTTAATTTGGATAAATGTGAGGTGTTGCATTTTGGTAAGGCAAATCAGAGTAGGACTCAGTGCATTGAGTACAGGAATTGGGATGTCATGTTGCAGTTGTACAGGACATTGGTTAGGCCACTTTTGGAGTACTGCATTCAATTCTTTGTCTCCTGGCTATAGGAAAGATGTTGTTAAACTTGAAAGTGTGCATAGAAGATTTACAAGGATGTTGCAGGGCTTAGAGAATTTGAGGTATAGGGAGAGGTTGAATAGGCTGGGGCTATTTTCCCTAGAGTATTAAAGGCTGAGGGGTGACCTTAGAGAGGTTTGTAAAATCATGAGGGACATGGATAGGGTGAATAGCCCAAGTCCTTTTCCCAGGGTAGGGGAGTCCAAAACTAGAGGGTATAAGTTTAAGGTGACAGGGGAAGGAAACTTAAGGGCTAACTTTTTCACGCAGAGGGTGGTTGCACTAAAGGATCTGTTTCCATGATGGGGAGGCAATGGCCTACTGGTATCGTTGGACTGTTAATCCAGAAACCCCGATAACATTCTGGGGACCCAGCTTCGAATCCTGCCATGGCAGATGGTGGAATTTGAATTCAGTAAATATCTGGAATTGAGAATCTAATGATGACCGTGAATCCATTGTCGATTGTCAGGAAAAACCCATCTGGTTGACTAATGTCCTATAGGGAAGGAACCTGCCATCCTTACCTGGTCTGGCCTACATGTGACTCCAGACCCACAGCAATTAGTTGACACTCAGCTGCCCTCTGGGCAATTAGGAATGGGCAATAAATGCTGCCCAGCCAGTGACTCCCTCAACCTGTGAATGAATAAAGAAAACAAAAAGTGCAACCCCAAGACTCTGTGACTAAATGAGTCTTAAGATTTTTACCATTATATTTTCTGTGATGTGACTTATATAAGGCATGGATTGGAAAGAAGATTTTACCACTGAATTTTCTGTAGTGTGACTGAGAAGAGCCAGGTGCTGAAATCAGTTAATTCTCGATCCTTTTATAAACTGAACAATTACAGAATCACTGGTAATATGCATGGAGTAACCTTTGTGTCCGCTGATGAGTCCACTTCACTGATTTCTGAAATAGAAATTGTCTGTGGAACTCTACAGAGGAGGTTTTTTTTTATTAAATAAATGAATAGTTTGTTTTTTTTTTAAAAAAAGCTAGCATCATCCGAAGGACAAATACTTCCCATCTATAGAACTGACGCGGAATTGCCGTTCTCTTCAATCACTGCCACGATCAGACTTCTTGAAAACAATAATAATCTGCCAATCTTTGATGCATTATATAACCCAGCCTCACATGGCTTATATATATCCTTTAAAAATATATTAATTCTGTATCCAGTAAAGGTATTAATAAATATATTGGTTTTCATACCGCACATGTTGGAGTTCAATTATTCAGTAACTTCTCCCGAATCCATTTACTGCCGTGAAAGGCTCTGTGATATGCTCTTGTCATGGAAAGATGCCTGAAAAGATTAGCATTAACACTGTAAGCTTTTATTGAAGAAAGTGATTGGCAAATAATGTTTAGAATTTTTAGTCCACCCACACATTTTGACACAACAATTAAGAAACAATGTATTTCCCAGACCCCCATCCAATGCCCACCACCCCTAAATGGAGTGATTTGAACTTGAAATCCATTTTAAGGAGGTGTAGAAGACACATTTGGCTTAGGTGCATTTTGTGACCCTGATCACATTGTATATATGCATTTATCGAAATAAAACTGAAATAGAAAAAACTCAGTCCAGGAACTTAAGGAATCCACATTGGCAATCTTCCTGTTTCATATGTATTTGTGATCTGTTAGATGTCCAGACTTGCATTGTCTCCTCTGCTCTACATATGATATGATCCATTGTTTTATCAAGTCAGTTTGTGTTTAGACTGTTGAATTTGAAGTGTTGCACTTTATATAACTGAATCAGGTCTTTTCATTGAATGAAATACAGCTTTTTTTAAAACCCAATAATTTGGAGATTACTATCAGCAACTCAGTCCAGTTTAATTGAATTGCAATCGTCTTGCTGTTTTTCTTCATTCAGTGGGCTGTAGTTCAAATATGATTTGGTCAGACAGAATATCAAAATGATTTGGGACAAAAAGAAAACGCTGCATCTGTGTTTCCCTAACAGGCTTATTCTTTACATCAAGTGCTTAGGTTTGAATGTCACTTACAGTGAGATGGTAAACACTTTTTCAGTTATCAGTGAGAATTTGGTGTACTCCATAGTATTTACGTTGCTCTCATAATGTTATTATCAGGAGTGCAGTTTTCCCCCCATTTGAGATGATGCTGTGTAAATGATGGAAGTTTTCTTATATCCACTGTATTAACACTAACCATGTATTTTTAGTCCTCCCAATGTGGCTCCTATAAATCTAATGCAAAATAGAAATTTTACATTCTGAATATACCATTCTGTAAAGATTGGAAGTACTCAAATCCATGAGATTATGTCAAGTTAGCTTGACTTAATTCTTGATTAGAATATCTAAATATAAGGGCTACAAAATACAAAATATCCCATCAGGTGCATACAATGTTTCTTTTAAATTTGTGACATCTGACATGACCTGAGCCTTGAATAAGGAGATTGGCTAATGATTTCACGAATAGATGCTTCTGAAGAGAATGTTTTCTTCAGAGTTTCATATACCAGAAAATTAATCCAAAGGGGAAAAAAGCTTGAAGACCTTCAAGGCTGTGTTTTCCTAGTTCACACTCAAAAGATTCCTCTGAATGGATAACATGAATGACTGAGCTCTGTCCCTGAAAAAGCACAGAAGTAACTTTGTTGCAACTTTAATTTACATGGGTCTGGTACAAACAGGGTGCATGCTGTGGGCTAAAACAGTATAATGTGTACATGTCAGAACTTGATGCTTAACAAGTATTCGTGTTAGCGCATACAGACCGTGGAAGTACGACCAGCCTGAGCAGTGATTTCTCTGTCATAATGGAAGAGTCTCCCACTACTACAGGGACTTTCAATTACGAGGCATTGGAAATGACAGCAGGCCCAGCAACACAGGTTGCTTGGTAAGTAATGCTCTGTCTTGACAAAATGCATTTATGAAGTTTTCCTTCATCCACCTTTTGGGAAGCATTTGGTGCTGATGGTTGTGTCAATGATGCAGATCTCTGACTAGGGTTTTATGATTTACTCTGTTTGAAGATGTGAGCATAAACTCTCACCATGTCACTAATTTCAGAATTTTGGAAATAGAAACTACTTGATGGACTTGAATTACTACTTCATTGTTTTTTTTCCTCTTCAAATATACTATTTTAATCCTCTAATATTTAATTTTTAATTTAGAGCTGTGGTTCAATTGGCTCAAAAAGCTGAGTTAGAGAGCAGACAGTACTGACAACTATTGAGTTGAGATGATCAAGAGTGGGGATAATTACACAATATCCCGTCAAGCCCGGTTGTAGCTACTCTTGCCACATTACCCCACACATTGTCTTTTCATTCAACATGGAACATGTTCTGGATCTGAAACTACATAGCTCAGTACCACACAATGTTCACTGTGCATATCAATGATTTGGATATGGAGGTAGGAGTGGGCGCACCCGGATCACCTTCACATACAAGGTGACTTCTAATCCAGATGTGGTGCAAGAGGCATTGGTATCTGCAGATATGAAGTAAATTAAATAATTCTGAGGGCGCAAAGAAACTGATAGGAGATATTGATAAAGTTAAAGATAGAATTCAACATCAGCAAGTGTATATATTTCTGCTTGTGATAATGAATTGATAGGAATAAACATGCAACATAGTGTTTGTGTTGTTTTTGCCTTTCCAATAGGATAAGTCAGTTAAATCAATGTACTATGACTTTACTACACCCAGTCACCTTGATGAATGCTGATACATTTTACCTGAGTGTTGAGTCTTTGAAATTCCCCTCTTTAAACAGCAGTGGATGCAGAATCTTTAAGTACTTCTAGGGCAGAGGTAGATTCTTGATTACCAGGAGGATGAAAAATTACTGGGGATGTGCAGGAATGTAGAATTGAGGTTAATATCAAGCCAGTAATGATATTCTTGAATAGTTGGCAGGTTCGAAGGGCCGAGTGGCCTATTCTTGTTCTTTGTTTGTATGTTTGTAACTTGGTACTGATTCAGATGTGTATAATCATCTTTATGATCAAGTTAAAGCCATTTGGTTGATGACACGTCATTTTCAAGGGAAATTGATGCTGATATTTTTATGTCAATGGTGCTTTTTCAACTAAACTGATTCTGTAAGTTCTAGACATAAATGATACAGCAGAACGCATCAGCACTTAGTTCTTTCATTTTCTTTTAAAATCAGAAACAACTGCCTTGTTATTGAGTACCACAATGCACATTAAGAACAAATTATCAGTTGATCACAAAATTCAAACAAAGAGCTGCAGATGCTGAAGATCTGAAACAAAAACAGAATTTGCGAGAGAAACTAAAGTCTGGCAGCATCTGTGGAGAGAAAGCAAAGTTAACGTTTTGAGTCCAGTGATCATTCTTCACAAAATACCTTATCAGTTGTTTCAAGTAATGTTGTTACACTGAATAAGCTTTGTAAGCTGCACAAGTACATGGATTGGGTTTTTCCAAGTTCAGACAAAAACTTGGCCCAAGATGTGTTTTGTTTTTTCCTTTTGGGGAAGTGGTTGGTTTTTGAAAGTGAGGGTATTGAAGATAAGGAACTTTTTGCATTTTCCTCCAGCATGATGAAGAAAAGTAAATAAATCTGAGGGCATGAAAAAACTGAGAGGCGATACTGATACAGTTGCAGATGGAATTCGACATCATCAAGTGTATACATTTTCTGCTTCTGGTGATGAATTGATAGAAATAAACATGGAACATCATGTTGATATTGTTTTTGCCTTTCTAATATGATAAGTCAGTTAAATCAATTCACCTGTCAAGCAACAGAAGTTGGGTGGTCAGGAGTTTAGTCGGAATAGTTGAAGAAATAGGAGCTATATCGTATAGATGAGATTGAACTTGGAAAGGACTGAACAAGAGGTAGAATGGGGAAAGATGAGAATTGGGGCTACCAAAAAAAGGCCTATATGAGCTCATACTACCTTGAATTGAAACAGAGAGGGAAGAGGAGAGGGTTTTGAAGAAGCAACTTGTAGTGGAAAAGGAAAAAAATCTAGTGCTATCTTTGCCCTTAGTGATAATCCTAGATAGTGTACAATTTGGTGGAGAAGACCGATGGATGGCGACACCTGTTCTCTACCACTATGCTGAATTTGAGAGTTTAAAGTTTTGGCTACACCAGGGAAACATCCAATTCTTAGTTACCAGGAATGTTTTACTCAACTTGCAGGCACTACAATTGGAGGTGAAGGACTTGAGCAAATTGGTGATAATGCATTCATCATGTAAAGGAAAAGAATATCAAAATTGCAAAAACCATTAATTGTAATTGAACTCTAAAACAAAATAAAATACTGCAGATGCTGAAAATCTGAAAATGAACAGAAAATTCTGGAAACGTTGAGCAGGTCAACCAGCATCTACAGAGGGAAATGGAGTTAACATTTCAGTTTTTAAAAAAATTATTCCTGGGACATGTGCGTCACCGCCTGGGTCAGCAGTTATTGACTGTCCCTAATTGCCTTTGAGAAGATAGTGGTGAGTTGCCTTCTTGAACTGCTGCAGTCCACGTGCTGTAGGTAGACTCACAGTTCAATTAAGGAGGGAATTCCAGGATTTTTGACCCAGTGACAGTGAAGGAATGGTGATCTATTTCCAAGTCAGATTGATGAGTGGCTTGGAGGGGAACAGATGTTGGTGTGTCTATATACCTGCTCCCCTTGTCTTTCTGGATGGAATTGGTCATGGATTAAAATGGTTTTGTCTTAGGATCTTTGGCAAATTTCTACAATACAAGGCTACTGAATGTCAGTGGTGGAGTGACTGAATGTTTGTAGAAGTGGAGCCAGTCAAATCAGCTGCTTTGTCCTGGATGGTGTTAAGCTTCTTGAGTGTTATTGGAGCTGCACTCATCCAGGCAAGTGGAAGTATTTCATCACATTCCTGACTTGTGCCTCCATAGATGGTGGACAGGCTTTGGGGAGTCAGGAGATGAGGTACTTGCTACAGTATCTAGCCTCTGACCTGCTCTTGTAGCTACTCTGTTCTTATGGTGAGTCCAATCCCATTGCAGGTCAACAGTAACCCTCAGAATGTTGATAGTGGAGGGATCCAGTGATGGTAACACCGCTGATTGCCAAGGGGCAATTTTTAGACTTCTGCCTGTCTGCAATAACATCTCTGAATTGATTAGAAAATATCTACTCTGAAGAAGTCCAGCAGAAATGTCCTGGAGCTGACATGAATGACGTCCAACCATTGGAGTGTTTTTTCCCTGATTCCCATTGAATCCAGTTTTGCCAGAGCTCCTTGATGCCACAGTCTGTCAAATGCAACCTTGATATCAAGGTTGTGACCCTCGCTTCACCTCTGGATTTCAGCAGTTTTGTCCACGTTGTAACTAAGCTTATAATGAGGTCAGAAGCTGAAAAGCCCGAACTAGGTGTCGGTGAGCAGGTTACTCCTGAGCAGGTGCTGCTTGATAACATGTTGATAACACCTTCCATCTTTCTTGGTTGAGAATAGACTGATGGACGGTAATTGGCAGGTTGGATTTGTCCTGTTTTTTTTTGTGTGCAGGACATACCTGGGCAATTTTCCGCACTGTCAGGGAGATGCCAGTTTCGTAGCTGTACCAGAATAGATTGCAGCAGGGCTGAAGCACAAGTTTTCAGTACTATTGCTGGAAGTTTTCTCGGTCAAAAGCCTTTGCACTATTCAGTGCCTTCAACCATTTCTTGATATCATGTGGCATGAATTGAATTGGCTGAAGCCTGGCGTCTGTGATGCTGAGGACGACTGGAGGAAGCCAAAGACGGATCATCCTGCAACACTTCTGGCTGAAGATTGTTGTGAATGCTTCAGCCTTGTCTTTTGAATGATGTGCTGGGCCCTCTCATCATTGAGGATGGAGATATTTGTGAAGCCTCCTCCTCCAGTAAGTTGTTTGATTGTCCACCACCATTCAGGACTGTATATGGCAGAACTGCAGAACTTAGATCTGATCTGTTGGTGGTGGGATTGCTTCGCTTTGTCTCTCATTTGCTGCTTATGCTGTTTGACATGCAAGTAATCCTGTTTGGTAGGTTCACCAGGCTGACGCCTCATTTTTGGTTATGCCTGATGCTGCTCCCAGAATGTCAAAAGTTCATTTCCAGCATTTATTGTAATTACGTGTTTTTGGTGATGAACTGTCTTTTAATGGTCATTTAAGTTCACATCAGAACCAAAAAAGCACGAAAATACATGTCATAAGAGGATAAGATACTGAAGAAGAATTAGGCCATTTGGCTCATTGAGTCTGTTCTGCCATTCCATCATGGCTGATATGCTTCTCAACACCATGCTCCTCCCTTCTCCTGTGACCCTTGATCCTCTGGCTGAAGAAATTCCTCCTTATCTCAGTTCTAAAGGGTTGTCCATTCACTCTGAGGCAGTGCCCTTAGGTCACAGTTTCTCCTACTAGGAGAAACATCGTCTCCATGTCCACTCAATTCAGACCTCTCAGTATTCTGTAAGTTTCAATGAGATCCCTCCGCCTCATCCTTCTAAACTTCATCGAGTACAGACTAGCGTTCTCAACCACTCCTCATATGACAGACCATGCATCCCCAGGAACATTCTTGTACACTGGACACCCTCCAGTGCCAGCACATCCTTGGATACAGGGGTGAAAAATGCTGTTCATATCAAATCAGTTGTTTTACTCTAACTGTTGCATAATATATATTTACCCACTATACATGTCACTCTGCAAATCCTAGGTGTTTTATGTTCCCACTAAAAAGAATATGTCTTGCAGATTCAAAGAACTTTTGTGCTGACCCTCTTTCCTTTCATTTAAGATTACATAGCACAAGGCACACTAACTATCATTAAATCATTCTCTCTTCTTTTAGACAGCTGCAGTGTTGGTGTGAATAAAGCACTTCCAATTTTAATGTCATCTTGTCACTCTCCTTTTTATCTACCCTAATTTTCCTCCTTTCTATTCCTTCTGGCCTCTCAAGTCTCTGTTTGCCTGCCCCAACCATCCTCTCCATCACCACTTCCTCATATTCTTGTTGGATATCTTTACAGCCATTCATTTTTCTTGCTTGGTTTCTTTCAGTTTTTGCCCTGGTGCTCTCATATTGCTGCTTTCTGAAATAATATCTTTTTGATGTTAAAATGCATTTTTGTAAACTAAAAATTAAAGCCTTGCACAAATTAGTGGAAAGTAGCATTCAAGAAGTTTTCACTGGCTCCTGTGGAGGAGTGGCACAGTGGCTCAGTGGTTAGTACTGCTGCCTCAGCGCCACGGACCCAAGTTCGATTTCATACTCTGACTGTCTGTGTGGAGTTTGCACATTAGTCACATGGGTTTCCTCCGAATGCTCCGGTTTTCTTCCGCAGTCCGGTTCGGTGGATTGTCCGTAGTGTCCAGGGATTTTCAGGCTAGGTGGATTAACCATGGGAAATGCATGGTTCCAGGATAGGGCATGGGGGTGTGTCTAGATTGGATTCTGTTTGGATGCTCAATGTGGCCTCGATGGGTTGAAAGGCCTGCTTTAATGCTGTTGGGATTCTGTGATTCTATGTGGAATTTACTGCTAAGTATCTTTCTGTAGTAGGGAAATTATGATATTCAAGGCTGCCTGTTGGTTTTCAGTCACCCATGGTCAAAGGTTGAAATGGTCAAAAGTTACATGACACCAGACTATAGTCCAACAGGTTTATTTGAAATCACAAGCTTTAGGAGTGCTGCCGCTTCATCAGGTGAAGCGAAGCAAGTGCCCAGGCATAGTCTTTATAACTAGAGAGATCAAAGATCATACAAATGGTGTGAGTGGAGTGTTGACAGGCCAAGTAATAGGTCTCTGCAGGCGACGATGAGTGTCAGATGGATGAATGAAGTGTTAACAGCTGAATAACAAGTGAAGGGATGAAAAATAATCTGATTAATTGAGGCAGAGAGATTATTACAAAAAAATAAAAATAAGGTGTTGGAGACAAACCAAATGACTGGAATAACATGACAGGTATGAAGAGTCCCATGCCCAGAGTCTTACCAAAGTAGCAAGTAATCCAAAATTGTACAAACTAATTAGGGTAGAGAGATCAGAACAAGTTATCAAGGTGATGTAAGGACAGTAAGGGAGATTTTACAGAACAGTATGGTGGGATCACGTAGTTCGACATGAACCCAAAATCACTGGTGAGGCTGTCTTCACAGCTATGGAACTTGGCTACCTGTTTCTAGTTGGCGATTCTGCATTGTTGATGATGAAGAGGGATAGAATCCCTACGTATCGTTGTATATCTTGAGGGGTGCCTTGAGGACTGTTATCCAGAGATCGGTGGCTGAATGTCCTTGACCGCTGAAGTGTTCCCCGACTAGGAGGGAACATTCCTGTCTGGCAATATTGCGCAGTGTCCATTCATCCATTGTCTTAGCATCTGCATGGTCTGACCATATACCATGCCTCGAGGCATCCTTGCCTGCAGCGTATGAGGTAGACGACAATGACTGAGTCACGTAAGTAAGTGCCGTGTATGTGGTGGGTGGTTTTCCCATGTGTGATAGCAGTATCCATAGAATCCCTACAGTGTGGAAACAGGCCCTTCAGCCCAACAAGTCCACATTGACCCACAGAGCATCCCACCCAGACCCATCCCCCTGTAACCCATCTAAATTACACATCCCTGAACACTACAGGCAATTTAGCATGGCCAATCTACCTAACCTGCACATCTTTGGACTGGGGGAGGAAACCGGAGCACCCGGAGAAAACCCACGCAGCCACGGGGAGAGTGTGCAAACTCCACACAGACAGTCACCCGAGGATAGAATCAAACCTGGGTCCCTGGTGCTGAGAGGCAGCAGTGCTAACCATTGAGCCGCCGTGCAGCCCACTGATTATCCATTGATCCTGGCATGTGTTGCAGAGGTTCCTTTCTGTCCTGTTTTTGGCACCATCACCTTGATAACTTGTTATGATCTCACTACCTTAATTAGTTTGTACAGTTTTGGATTTGTTGTTACTTTGGTTTGTCTCCAGCACCATCTTATTTTTATTTTTTTGTAATTATCACTGCCTCAATTAATCAGATTATAGATCATCCCTTTATTTGTTATTCAGCTGTTGATACTTCACTCGCACCATCTGACACTCTTGATCACCTGCAGAGACCTATTATTCAGCTTGTCGACACTCCATTCACGCTATTTGTATGATCTTTTGATCTCTCTGGTAATAAAGTCTGTGCCTGGTGCTGTCTTCACTTAACCTGACAAAGGAGCAGCGTCCCTAAAGCTTGTGATTTCAAATAAATCTGTTGCACTATAATCTGGTGTCATGTGACTTTTGACCTTGTCCACCCTAGTCCAACACTGACAACTCCACATCAAAGGTTGAAATGTTATGGGATATATCATGTACACCTAACAAAATAGTGGTTAGATCAGGCATGTTAGGCTTCTGTGTTTCATTTCTATATTTTACTGCAGGTAACCTTGCTGCACAACTTTTAAATTGCATGAAAATAACCCTCTTTGAAGAAATTGTCAATGCAGCAGGTCCTATGCGGTTTTGGGTTGATGGTTTTGTCCACTGTGATTGCAACATTTGCCGTACTCTTTGTAATCTGCTGGGCACCCAACTCCCTTAACTTGTTCAACAGTAATAAATGAAGTTAAATGATGTGCATCTTTTTGTGGCTGTGTGTTTATGGAGGTAAATGTGATTTTCTTGCATTTTATGATATACTATGAACATTTCAAAGTGCATATATCTTTGCTTTGATGTCACACATTCTCTGCCAAAACTGCTGTAAGAAATGGAAGAATTAGGACCCACTGTGGACATTGTTTTGGGGGGGAAATGTCCTCTCTACTCCATTTCAGCTCTTAAGAAATTTCTGTTTCTCAAAACGTTGCTTTGCATTAATTAGCTGCTCATTAGAATCATAATCTTCATACCGTTGTCAGTGCTACCTGGAGAAATGTCTTGCTGCTTTTCTTGACCTTGATTTTTCAGTAGCCTTGGAGATTTGGAAGCAATTATTTCATTAAAGTTAATTCAAAGGTATTCTATTTTAAGGTCAAAGCTACTCAGATGCACTGCTTGCAACATTTTCACCAAAATATGTTTGTTGGGACAAATCATTTTTACAGTGTTATCAGCACCCGGATTTCTGAATTTATTTTCCCAAAAAAAAGGGAAAACCATTCCATTCATCTCTGATTTTATCTGCTTTAATTGAATTCCAGGAGAAAAGGCCGAACATCATCACCACAGACTGTTATGTGGAATAAACCTTACTTGCCGAATCAACTGGAAGATCGGTTCTTACAACACAGTATGCCTGAAGCTAGGTCATCGTTCTACCAATCAGAAAATAGCTTTCTGACAACAGGAAGTAGCAGCCCCTTAGCTGTTCCTGAAAGAAGGTTGGTCCATTTTCACCGTCCACTGAGGATATATCGGGTAATGGTTACTTGCATGCATGCCTAACTTCTGGGTTCAAGTATGCTATTGCTTTTCAAAAGCTAACAAACTATGAAAGCATCTTGATAGGGGAAAAGAAAACCCCCCTTGGTGCGGAATAGCACGGTTAACCTCATTACTAACAATTGCAGCATTAATGGAACATCTGAATGTGAATGATATATACCTGAAAAGATTAACCTCAACTGTGTGCATTGACAGGTAAACTGACTATGTTCAAAGCTATTAACACTCTTAGAGTTTGAATGAGCATGTGGGTTATATAATCTTTATTGACACCTCTAATGTTCCATACTGCTAGCATGACCTCAGTTATTGTTAATTCTAATTTTGTCACCACAACCCCACGGAGAAGCATGCAGATTTTTTCCTCAATGCATACAGATAATGATACCTCAGATTTAGGATGGATTTTAAAATGTTTTAAGGAATCATATAGACTATTTTCTGAAATACAATCACCTTTATATCGGCAACTTCTGAAAGTTGCAGTGTCAACTACTGATTACTGCTCCTGATTTCTACCACCCAGCAACCGAGCATGTTGAAGCTCCAACATAATTGTTGTAGAATACTGATTGAGATGACTCACCTTTAGTTGGCAGTTTGGCTGATCAATTTACGGTGCATGTTCTGAATGATTGATTATCATGTTTAGACAGAGGGCCAGCATGAATAAAGCACTGAACGTGGTTTGTGTGTTATGACTGTGCTGTAGAATTACATGCAGTGGGGACAGGTTACTGACTTATTTTGAAAATCTGCGAAGGAAAACCATCTGATAGTTCTGGAAGTATTGCTAACATATTTCTTCCTCCATAGTAACTTTCGTGGCTTCTCTTAGTTTCCTCAGTTCCTCTAACCCTTTAGTGTCTTGTTGTGGTTATTTTCTAAACTCATCATTAGTATGGCCCTATGTTTTTTTTTCTTCGGATGTATTATTTCATCAACTATTACCCACTTTACAGTTGAACAAGTTGTAAGTTAAAGTAGATAAATACTTGTACAATGGGACATAATTAAAACTCTCTCTTTACTATCCTTGTTTCCCCCAACAAAGAGATAATGTGACCTCCAAATGCTTATCTCCCTGCTCTGTCTTCTCCCTCAATTTTAGGTTTCCACTGTCACTAGGGCACCATCTTTCAAAAGGACCAATTAATGAACTGTACCATAAGGAGCAACATATATCTGCAAAGTTTCTTGTCCTATGTGTTTACTGGAGGTGTTGAAGCAGAATACATCTACTAGCATCTGATGTCCATCACAAGTGCATGCCTTTGCACAACTGAGGAAACTATGACAAATTTAAATATCTTCTGTTAGGTTCAAAGACTTTAAACAAAAAATGGAATTTGGAAAATGGAGTGGAAAACTTTCTTCTTGTCAGCATGCTTTTCAGATATCTTGAAGAGGATTTCATGATTCCTACAGCATTGATTTTGATTTCATATTGGCCTTGCATAATCCAATTACAGTCAACATTGAGAGAAGTTACAGCCTTGGTTACAAAATTTATTCATATTACCATCTAATGAAATTAGATGTAAGATGATGTCTGAGATTTTAATTTTCATTGAAATTTAAGCCATGAATGTTATATAGAAAGTTATTCCTGTTCATGGCAACATAATTTTATTACTGCTTCCAACAGAAGCCTTTAACTTGTAGAAGCACTCAGGTGTTGCTGTACATAATGACTTAATGTCCTGTTGGAATGGAGAAGAAAGTGGCCTCACAGTAAAGAAGAAACCAAATGAGAAGCTGTTTCATAACTATGGAGTATGTGGGTTAACCATGTAAAATTTTATAATTAAAAGAAAATACATCAGCACAAAAGGCCAGCTGTGCTTATTTTATATTTCACTGTCTTCCTGTGCAGCTCCACAGAGTATTCCCATTCTTCATCCTCTTCCACGGATTATGGCAGCTGGCAGATCGTGTCTGGCTGTGGCAGTATTCATGACCAGTCTGTAGTTACCAATGACTCACCCCTCCCCTTCAGTGTACAAGATGATGGAGCCAATGGAAGACTGTGAGTGTTGCTGACATTATGCAACTTTTGCCTCAGAATCATTTAATCCTGTTATAGGTGTCTTCCTCTCTCTGTCCATCTGTTGTCCCTCTCATCCACCTTAGGCCCCATACACAATTTGCACGATTCTTTAATCAGCAAGCTTCCATTTTCAACTCGAGCTCAGTACAAACATGGATCTTCTCCAAAAAGAAGGAATAGTTGCAAACAACCAAGTAGCATGTCTGTTGCATTTCTCAGAGAAACCAATTTATAACAATATTCGATAACCTGTAAGACATCACTAGTTTGGAGGTGCCGCCAGAAGTGGAAGAAATTAAATTTGCAATTATAGGGGCAGCTGTAAGTAAAGTTAGCAAAAATGATATCAAGAAAGCAAATGCTCACTTGTTTGTCTGCGGATCTTTTGGTGAAGTCATCTTTGTATTTCAGGCATTTATACTGGACTTTAAATATACAAGGCTCTCAATAAGCAATAAGTACAATTGTGGGGTGGGTGGAAGAAAGAAGAACAAAGCCAAAATATAAAGCTGAAAATGAGCAGGCTATGAGGTGGATTTTTGTGCTGATCTTTGTTGCGGTCTGAAAGCAAATGGTTGTGACCTCTTGCAGTCAATAAAAGAAATCATTTATGCTTAAATAGCTGTCAGAATTGAAACCAGCAAATAAAGGCGACTTGCAGTGAGAGCAGCAATAATTCCCATATCCATCATCTTTCAAGCAGTGAACCGTTGCTGACACTGTCAATGAATGTCTAAAAAAACTTGTTGATGAAAGAATGAATCCTTTATGGAAAATGATCATCCAACAGCCACAATATGCCTTCAATACACCTGTCCAAATAAGATTTTCAATTTCACTGAACCTAGTATGAGAGAGAGAGAAAGATTGGGTTAATAATGTGACTGGCATGAATGGTTTTGGGAGGAATATGAAAAGTTTTTGCCTTTTTTAATTAAAAGTTTTGTGACTGAACAGGATCATGGTGTTTGTTGATGTTTATTGTACCTCAGGTTACCTGAACATCTAAGACAAAGTTATTTTAAGTATGAATACTTCTGGTGTTTGTGAATTATTTACTTGTAAGGGATACATGTAAAATACAACTTGTAAATACCTCTAACCAATGGGGAAAAGAAATCCCAATGATTTGGACCACATTTTATAGAATTGAATTCCAGTGAATCAAATCCTGTGACATTTGTTCACACTTATGTTTCTAGCTCGAAGGTGAAATGTATAAACTCAAAATCTAAATTGACCTCCCAGTAGTGTCATATCGCTTTCTCTTCTCATTGATTTATCTTATGTTCCAGATTTGTCTTTTTTTGGGGAGGAGCTGTGGGGAAGGTATGACAGCTTTGAGCAGTTGGAATGCAACTTTCTTGACATTCAAACTTGGGTTGTTGTGCCAATTGATGAAGACTGCTCATTTTTGTTCCGGGATCACATGCTTCTGCATAGTTTTTGTTACATTAGACCTGGTAACAATGATACTGAAGCCTACTGGTCTGCAGAAAGATGTTTTGTACAGCTGGCTTAATTTGATCCCACTGTTCTGAGTTGGCTGTCAGAAGATTTTTCAGGTTGGTTTTGAGCAGCTTTTGTCAGGCCCCTGAAGGGCTGAGACATTTATCTTCTTCCTCTTGGAGTTTTGGTTCTTGTAATGTCTTTGCGTTAAGTAGATGATCTGTCCAGCAGATACCAGTCTACTGCATGGACTGAGGGCTACAGACATCGTTTAGATCTTTGACTTGAACAATGACATTATGTAGGAGATGCCAGTGCTTTGTTCTAGGAGGCCCATATGTGGTTTTATATTTGTCCTTCTAATGGAAGCTTTTTTTTAAATGATGCTCAAGAGAATACAATTTACATTGGCTTCCCCAAGCTGCTGCTGCTTCCCAACAGTTCCTCTGCAGATATTAGAGTTAAAACCAAACCTGGATTAAAATTCTCCCAGTTGAATGATTTTTTGGGATGGCAGTGAGGACTTCTTCAAAGTCAGAAGAACTTATTTTTAACATTGTCATCCAAGTCAGAGGTTCAGGAATAAGCACTGATGACTTTGGCATATCAATTATAACTGAGCAGGTTTGGTGTCCTGAGCCTTTCATTTATACATTTGGGAAGTTCTGACAGTGCATCCAAGAACATATTCTGGAGACCAACACGAACTTCTTGGATTTGAGGGTTTCTGTCGGTTCTATCTTTCCAGTATAAGATGTTTCCCCACACCTTGTTCCTTCAACTATTTCCACACACTTCCCCTAGGAAAGCAAGTCATATTGAGTACAGTGATGACAATTTGGAGTCTTGATGTTTCGTGGTATAATTTGCAATTGTTTTCAGATGGCCACTCCTGGGATTATCCATGAGTGTTCTAAGTCTGCGAGTTGAAAAATGTGAAGTTTTCTTTCTCTGAACACAACTTTTCTGCTGGGTGCACTAGAGACCCAGGACTCCAACTATATACTGAACGTGAAGTCATGCAAAGCTTTTTGAAGCGACCACCTCTAAAAGACTAAGGTCAAATGGACATAGTCCTCTTCGTTAGTAGGATGGAATCTGTCATCTTGAGGATGATGATGTCATTTGGCAACCCTGGAAAGAACATTTTCAACAATTCCTCAACCATGAATCAATGGTAGTGGCTTATGCTGTTTAGGCTATCCACTGAAAACCTCTGGTGAAATCTATAGATGGGCCATCGTCAATGGGAGGGCTACAACAAGCAATCAAATGGATGAAAAACAAAGAGTGTATGATGGTATTCAATTTGAGGTTTTCAAAACTGGGTTTTTGCATACATTAAGACTCAATGCACTCATCCTGCATATTTGGGAGGAAACACAACTCCCCTCCCTATGCCTCCAATTTCAAGAATGCAACATTTGTAACTATTTTCAGAGGGGAGGTAACTCATACTGTGGAAACTGTTGCTTGTAGCAGGGGAAGACCTGATGTGCTTTCTTTTAAATTTCCCACTTCCTGTGGCTGAAGGAAACCTTGTCTGTGTCAGGGTATCTTAAACCTTCCACGGAAACCTCTGACATTGTCTTTGTCTTTGAAACCAAATAAATCCAAGGAAGGTATCAAACACAGCAGAAGGAACTCTGCATTGCACTTGTTGATCTGACCATGGGATTTGATTCAGTAAGATATGGAGATTGTTCTCCAGCAATTTTGATGTTAAAGAAATTACATTCTGCAGCTGCCTCATGATGATACTACTACAACTATCTTGAGTGGGTCTGAAACATACTTTCAAAATTCAGAAGGCTGTGTGATGGCCTCTTTTCTATTTACTATCTACCCGGCTGGGGTAACTGACCTCATCAAAGATAGACTGCTATCTGGTGTGAGTATTAAATCCAGCCTGAATGGAAAATTCGTTTAACCTTGGTCATCTGCATGCCAAAATTAAACTGAGCAGTAGACATGACCTACAACATACAGATGGTTGCAGTGTCATTCTTCATTCTGCATCAGACTTGCAAGCTGCCCTCCATTTCTTCAAATCTACATGCAAGAGACTCGGCTTGTTCTTGAATTTAGCAAAACTAAGCTCATTTTTTAACCAAGACCTGGTCAGTTAAATATTCCACTTCCCATATGTGTTGAAAGGCGAACCGGGGACCATGTTAAGAACCTTCAATACCTTGGAACGCGCCTCCTGTCAAAAGGAAATCAAACATTGGATCAGTTGCACCAGCTTGGCCTTTTACAAACTATGGCAGTGAGTGTTTGATGACAAAGACCTCCACAAGTCAACAGAAGTCCAAGTGTAGAGAGCAGTTGTTATTGCTGGCTGCACGCCTTGACTGCAGAGCTATCCGAATTTTTACCAGCGGTACAAGTGTTAGATAAATACCACTAGTTGCATTCTGTGGAATTGCTGGGAGGACAGTTGAACAAAAGGTAGTATTCTACTTGAACCCAGCTCTGCAAGCATTTGGGCAAAACATCTGAAAAACCAACTGTGATGGACTGAACGCAGCATCTGGTTGGCTGAACCTCCAGATCATTTATTCTCAACTCTTAAATGTCAACTTTCCACTGGTAGATGAAGAATCTGCTAATCTGAAACATTCCTTGATGTGCAGCAGCAATAACGTTAATAACTGGGAAGCACTTGCTGCAAATCATTTAGCTACATTGTGCTTTGTGTTCAGTTATTTTAATGAGGCACAGCAGAGGAAGAGAAGGAAAGAAAATTAAATACGGAATCCAAATTCCGCTAACTCGTGGGGTGTTCTGCCTCGTGTATCCAAAGATCTGCAGGTTGAGAATTGGCCTGTTCAGTCTCATACAGACTCTCTGCAGGAACAAGTACAAAATACAGAAAGTTGGGTAGTATACAGGGTAAGCTGCACTGCTAATTTCAATCCAGGCTCTAGATTCATGAATGAATGTCAACTCTGTTTTTAGGCTATACGTATTCTGTGTGAAATTACTTTCAGTATTTTCTGCTTAACTTCAACAAGCTGAAGATCCAGAAATTGCTACCAAATTTGCACTTGCACACAAGTCATCTTACTGTGTGATGTGAGAAGTTATACAAGCATACAGGCATACTGCACAATTAGGAAAAGCTGAAAATAGCTTCCCACAGAGCTGACATAGCATCTATGAAGTTTACAGTTTTGGAAAAAACCTGGAATATAGGCATTGTGATGTGACGATGATGAGTGTAACTGAGAGATGGTTTTGTTATAAATAAGGCTGCAGATGTATCCTTGTAATTCTGAATACTTTTATTGCTGTAAACCAGCAGATTTTGCAGCATCAGTGGATTTTGAAGTTACTGAAGTGGAATCAAAGTTCTGAAAGGAGTGAGTGCTGAAGGCATCAGACTTTCCATTAAGCACCCAAGTTGTCACTTTTGAAACCTGTTGTTATTGAGTATAAATTGATTGTTTTGTTTTTTTTTAAATCAAATAATATTCAGGATCACTTTAACTCTACTCCAGCTGCAGTCATTTTGCAACTGAGGAAGGGAATACTCAAATGAAGCCAATTAATGAATTCACACCAACTACCTATCCCTTTCAACTTTTTGTTAAAATGTAAAGAATTTAATCCATCTTGGGGGGGGGGGGGGGGGGCGGGGTGGGGCAACAAAAAAAATCACCTTGTCAGTAAGATTACTGACTGGCATGCTGTAGTACTTACACTTGGGGAAATTGGCTTTCACCTTTTAGTGTATTATTTACCTGGGGACTGAGGCTGATGATAATTTTTTTCACTTCAAGTTTGTGCATGAAGTACAGGGGGAGAAAGGAATGTCTGATTGGTTCTATTCTTGCCCTCCATCCAAACCAGTGCATCCCAAGAGCTGGCAAACTTGAAGTTCAACACTGATTTAGACAACCTCCAATTTACCAATGATTCTGATTTATTTTCTTTAGAGCAGACACTGTCAGCTTAACAGACTGGCTGTTGGCATGTATGCGCCATTAGGAAGCAGTTTTTGTTGTGAAAGAGCCCAAGAGTAAAATGTTCCCAGGATTATTTTCAATACAAATGAAAGGGAATAATGAGCATTTAGTAATTAAAATTGAGTGACTTGGTCTCAATGGAATTTCAAATTTACAAGAGAAATAAAATTTATTTTGCAGATATCAGCACATCCCAGAACGCAGGGCCAAGCTGGAGGAAGTCCGAGCCATATTCTTGTCTGCATACAGTGCAACTGTGGGCCTCAGATCTGTGTCATCCAGTCCGTCATCGTCCATTGGTGGACTTCTAGAACAGTTTGCACGTGGAGTTGGGCTGAGAGGCACAAACAGCATTGTCTGACACAGCTGGCATTTTTTTTTTTAAGTATAGGTATGGATCACTGTGCAGATATTAACTGTGACAATGCCAAAGATGGACTTGTGAATTTGTTTTCCAACTTGATGATTTATTTCATTTTTTGACCTTAGATTGTATTCAGTTTTTTCTCCTCCTGAAATTTATTTCTGGAAGGAGGAGAAATGGTCACTGTCCCCCATCCCACTTCTCTTCCACAAACATCCAAAATATCGGTGAAAGGAAGTAAAAATAAAACCGGTTCAGCCTTTGGTACAGGATTATTCATGGAATACCTTCGCCTCTTTGTGTTTAAATTGGAAAACTTTAAAAACTTGTCATTGATTATTTTCAAGTTAGAAATCCCATAATAGGAGGCAATTGGAAGTAGTGGTGAACGCGTCCAGTGACATTTTTTAATCTTTCAAAAATTGCTGTCATTGTTAGTGTACTCCAGTCTACAGTTATCTGACTGAATAGAGGAATTTTGTCTTGCAACTTCCTTTTAAGGCTGCTTTTCAAGTTGGCTGATTGTGATGAAATCAGTTTTTTTTTTAATTAAAGAGCTAGTACTGCAATAGGGTTGTTAAAAATATAGCAACATTTCAACATGGTTAATTTCCTTCTTACAAGTGTGTGTCTTATTGTGGTATACTCTTGTTGATATAGTGGGATAATGTGTCTGGCGTAGTGTCAATCCTAATTAAGCTAACTTATAGAAAGGAGGAAGAGAGAAATGGTCAAATCAAATCTGAGAGAATTAAATGGAGTAGCAACTTACTCAAGCAACTTGAGTGACCACCAAAGCAAGTTACCTGGTGAGTACAGGAACTAACCACTGCTGTGTTTTTTGATAGATTAACTACTGCCGCTGATAAAGCTGTCAATAGTAAATGATTTGGCTTCAGTAAGATTCTGCTAGATTCTAACAACTTGTTCAACAAATGAATAATGTTTGTCAATTTAAGTAAGAATACAATAGTAAGATGGTTTGTTGTTATTAGCAGATCTAACTTAATTCAGCGTTAGACTTATTTTCTAAAGATTGTTTCTATTTTTTAATACGGCATTTAACCTGCTTGAGAAATTTTGGATAATATTTTTGTAACACTTCTTCAAAAAAAGTATTTATTTTAAACATCTGTTTTTCTCTTAAAATGGAACTGATCTTCTCTGGGTTACTGCTGTTCAAATTTCACAACATTTATTTTGTTGCCATTGAAGATTAAGTGAGGGGAGAGCTTTGTATTGCATCACTTGAATTGCAGATCTTGGAGTTTAAATTTCATGCTTTAGCTCTTCGTAGGAGAAAGACAATTCAATGGTTTAATGGCAAATGCCCTTATTATTTCAGTCAAGCTGTTGACTCTTGGATCAGCAATGAACTCTTAACATGGAAGAGCGTAAGAAAGGTCAAGGGTGAGAAAAGACTGCAAAGTCCATCAAATTTCACTCCTCCAATGCCACAGTTCTCCCATTATGTCCAGCTGCATTTTGAATGCCTCATTTTTTTGCCTACCCTAGGTAGCAAACTTAGCAAACATTTCTCACACTGAGTGAAGAATAGCAACTGAATAATTGTTTCAAATTTGACTTTCACTAATTTAAATCCATCTCATCAGCTTAACTTTGAGTAATTGATATGTGTTTGCCTTATCTGTGGTATTTTAACCTCCTTTGGATATCCTCTGCTCCCCCACCAACACAGCCACCACTACTTTTCTGGAATCACTTTTAGGATTAGAACAGGTTTTTGTGTATTCTATATTTAAAAACTGTGAAGAGGATGTAGTAGCACCTATTAAGAAATAAAACAATGCTTTGAGTGTAGATCTCTAAATTCTGACTGTAAATGAAATTGCATATACCTAAAATGTTAACTGCCTTGTATCACTTCAGCTGCTGGCTAGCCTGTTGTACATTTCCAACATTTTCTGTTTTTATTTCAGATTTCTAGAGCTTAGTTTTTTAAAAAAAGTCCTTCCTGCAGTTCTTGTATATACTTTCCACTTCACTCCTACCCTCTCGTAACTGACCATAAACGTAAACAGTACACTGTATTGCACACAGTAATACATTATTCTTAGTAAGTATTGATAAGCCAGTTCAAACAGATCATAGTTTGTAAGTTTAAAAAAAAAAAGTTAAACTGACATTTTTAATCATTTAGTGATGTGAATGGAGACTCATCTGGTTAGGTATGTGCATGGCAATTTTGACTATATCTTTATATTTATACTTGAAAAGAAATTACCATGCCCAACAAAAATGTTCTCCAGAGGAGAATTAAAGATCCTTAAATGTTGTGTCCAGGTTTCAGATGGGAGATTTAACCATCTGTTTGGTAGATAATCAGACATTTTTCTGATTAATTGTAGCCAATCTAAGCCCCCATTATATCGATTTTCTGCACTAATATTCTTGTTAACCTGCACAGCTTGTATGTCAGCGCTAAAGCACTAAATCTCTCTTGAGCAATAGACTATTTACTCTTGGTGCTTTCTTATGATAAATATAGATCCCAAGAAGGTGTAACGTGAACCCCTCATTGGTCTGATTTTAAAGGATATATCGCCTGAAAACAATTAAATTTATTTTTGTCTAATCCTTGTTTGCACGAAAATGTCTAAAGTTTGGTTGTAGTTTGGATAACTTGAGGACTTCAGCAAACGCTGGAAATCCTTCATTAGTTGCAGTATCACCTCACCCCCCCCCACCACACACACATGCACACACCACCCCTAAAGTGTAATTTGTTGGTTATTTTTAAAAAAAATCCAATAAACTATTTATCTGAGATTATTTCACTGAAACTTTTTTTCTTACGTTAGGTTTGCATTCCATTTCTTAGTGGTGCACACAATCTCTTAAAAGGTTGCCTTTTTTTCCTGTAGACTGAAGATGTCTTTGAGTTTAATGTCCAGAATTTTGACCACAAAGTTCTTCTCCCGTCCCTCCCCACCACCAAAAAAAAAGGGCTATAAATGTCTGGCTTGTAATGTAAGATGGCTAGAAATTTGGTATCATTTTGAGTTGCCAAATTGACTTTGGTATTGACTATATGATGACCAAGATTACCAATGAGGGATCCGGCGTGTTGCTGGAATGAGAGATTCCCATCAGCTAGAAGTATTCTATTAGAATTGGTCTACTGCCTTTAAAATACAGGGATAGTGTGACCTATGCTAGTTGAGGAAAAATGGGCAGTCAAAGCTCTTTACATTGGATTAGAATTTGGCTGAAAGAACAGTAGGAGTTATTGAACCATAAGACACTAAGCCAACAGCAAGTACTATAAATGTGTGAAATCTACTTGGTAGGAGGAGGAATACAATGCTTAAGAGTGGACTACTCTTTAAAATTGTCCTTTTTTTCTCATGGTTTTAAAATCTTAAAACTGCAGTGTCATATTTGATTTATTTTTAATCCGACCTTGCAAACAGCAATTAACTTATGGGCAAAAAGTGCTTCTGAAAACTCTTTTGTGAATAAAGCCATATTATCAAGCATGAGGGGTGTACTTTCTAATCTTTCCATGTAGATCTACAGTAACGTAATCACCTAGTCGTGTGATCAGTTTTGTGCAAGCAATTCTGTGGTTAAAATGAAACATTTTTTTTAATCCCTTAGAACGAGTGATATGACTCCACAAGTGGTTTGCTGCACAATAGATACAGCATTTGCTGCAGTAGTGATTTAGCATCAAATCTATCTGGAAGCTCATTCCTCCAAGAACTTTGATAATGTTCCTTTATATCTACAATCTTGCAAATAAACAATTTTGGTCAACACTTTCAATATACTCTTGCGAAAAAACTGCATGATATCCATATAAAAAAGTATTTGTCTAAATGGAAATTATTAAAGAAAATTATTTTGAATTGTTAAATTAAAACTAGTATTGTAAAACTGGGTTCAAAATGCATCTTGAACTCCTTAGCTGTACATTGTTAATGTTTCATTCTAGAAGTTAAGAATCAGGTAGACTATTCTTTAAAGACAAATCTTATAGGACCTATAAAGGTATGACTGAATAGTAGAGTACCAATCTCTGCTTCTTTCAAATATCGGGATTATGTATGTTGTTACAATTGCTTGCTTTTGGTAGTAATGGTGAAGGACATGCAGTTCATTTGGAAAGAAAGTTTGTCTGTTATTAGTTCTTCTCTGCAACATTTTGCCATTTCTTCACCCATTTTAAACCAAGACTACAAGGATGGTCTGAATCAAGACAGCCATTTAACTGGGTCAACTCGTGGAGGCTGATCTGGAGCACCTTCAGGAATCTACTCTGACTTGATGTTTTGTTTGGATTGCTGACCCCAGTAAATTGTACAGTTTCAATTTTCTTATCACTTTACTGATCCTGTGCAAAACTTTCTAGTATACAGTCAGAAGTAATAACTTGTTCAACTTGATTTGGTCAGTGAATTGAGGCCTTATTTCCCCTTTCTTGCTGGATCATTCAACTATCTTGAGCAACATTACCAGAACGACATTAAGGTAATTTGTGTTTATGAAGCAGGAACTCCTTTAAAGAAACTTGTTGATGGAATATTCTGTACTCAGTGAAAATATGACTTAAAATTTCACGATTAATGTTCCATGAAGTGCAAAATCTTGCAACATGGCAAATTACTGTAATGGTTCTTCAGGACTTCTTGAACTTGTTCCAGGCATTCTCTGCATGTCTATAAAATGTTTCAGCTCGGATACAAATAATAAAACTTGTAATCTTGATCAAGTGCTTGTCATATTCTTTGTACATCTATTGAATGTGTCTCAGAGTCAAAGATGTGCTTAAATACAGTACTATTATCAATTCTTTGTCATAAACTTTGGAATTCAGACACCAGGATGAAACTACAAAATCATTTAAAAGCTTGCGTATAGTACGCAGATCCTGTCCACATTGTTCATTTAATTGAATTTGCTTGATTTATTAATGTCTCAAATATTTTATTTTCACAACTGCAAGTGAACCCGTTTGTGTTTCATTGCTGTTCAGAGAATTCCTACAGTGTGGAAACAGGCCCTTCGGCCCAACAAGTCCACACCAACCCTCCGCAGTACCCAGACCCATCCTGCTACCCTTTCCCTGTAACCCTGAATTTCCCATGGCTAACACACTTAATCACATCTACACATCCCTGAAAACTGGGCAATTTAGCATGGTCAATCCACCTAGCTTGCACATCTTTGCACCATGGGAGGAAACTGGAACACTTGGTGGAAACCCACGCAGACACGGGGAGAATGTGCAAACTCCACATGGGCAGTCGCTCAAGGGTGGGATTGAACCCGGGTCCCTGGCACTGTGAGGCAGCAGTGCTAACCACTGAGCCACCACGCTGCTGTTCTTGACATTGCTTGTAGATTCTAAATTGGCACATCATTGAAACATAGAAAATAGGCGAAGTAAGCCATTCGTCCCTTTGATCCTACTCAGCCATTCCTTATGATCACAGCTGATCATCCACCGCTGTAGTCTGTTCTGCTTTTCCTTTGATCCAATCCTTTGATCTCCTGAGACTCAAATGCTATATCCAACTCCTTGATATCATACAATGTTTTCATCTCAACTGCTTTACTAGCCTCTGGGTGAAGAAGTTCCTCCTCATCTCAGTCCTAAATGATTTATCCCATATCCTTAATTTGTGACCCCACAATCAGGAACATCCTTCCTGCATCAACCTGTCTAGTCCTGTTAGAATTTTTAGGTTTCTGTGAGATACCCCTCATTCTGCTGAACACCAGCAAATATAATCTGAACCGATTCAATCTCTCCTCAGATGTCAGTCCCAACATCTCAGGAATCAGTCTGGTAAGCTCTCGCTACACTACCCCCTATAGCAAGAACATTCTTCCTCTGGTAAGGAGACCAAAACTGCATATAACAGTCCAGTTATGGTCCTATACAATTGCAGCAAGATATCCCTGCTCCTGTAAAATTCTTGTTAACGAAGGCCAACAAACCACTTGCCTTCACGATAGTGTAAACTTCAAAACTTTAGTAACTGTTTCTGGATTGAAAGAATCAGCAGTAAATCTTTAGAGTTGTTTATTGGTTTGCTGAACTGATTGGTTTTTGTGCAAACATTTCGTCCCCCTTGTAGGTGACATCTTAAGTGCTGTCTAGCCTCCATTGAAGCGCTGTTGTTCTGTTCCGTTCTGAATTTGTACGGTCCGGTCTGTTATGGTGGGTAGTTCTGTTTTGGTTTTGCTCCATAGTGGTATGTAGGTGCCATGCAGCAACTGTGAGAAGCAAATACATGGGACAGACAAGCAAGAAACTCACCACATACACTAACACCAACTTACAGCAAAACAGCATGACCAACTCTGTCGTTTCTGTTCACTCTGACAAAGAAGGACATCAGTTTAACTGGGACAATGTAACTGTACTAGAACAAGCAAAACAAAGACAAACATGAGAATTCCTGGAAGCCTGGTTTTCAACTACTGGTACCATAAACGTGTTGAAATAGCCCCCATGTACATACCATCGTGGAGCAAAACCAGAAACTCCACTACCCATCGTAACAGACCAGACCAGACCATATAAATTCAGAATGGAACAGAATAATAGCACTTCAGTAGAGGCTAGACAGCACTGAAGATGTCACCTAGAAGGGGGATGAATCATTTACACGAAAACCAGTCATTTTGGCGACCCAACCAACAACATGAACTACAGATCTTCGCTAAAACAGTAAATCTTCCTGGAATAAACTTTCCTGAGATAAAAGGGCAAACTGGTATAAAGGAATTAAAAACAAAATGCTAATTAACCATCCCTGGGAAGAAGGAGTGGAAGCAACGTCAGCTCTTTCCTGGGAGATGGGACATAACGTTGCTTGATAACCTGCTGCCCTGTGACAAATGGGCAATTAGATTGCTTACAAGAAGGAATATCCTGATGTAAAGGGGTTAATTGCAAGAAAATTTGCGTTTTTAAATAGACAGCTGACACCAAGTGTAACAAAGATCAGAGGAGCTACTTCTGATAAGAAGGCAAGCTACAGACTTGAGGACAGCAGAAGTGTAATCAATGTTGGGGCTAAAAGAATCTAAAGGATCATCAATAAGGTCACAGCACAAACTTTAAAGACAGGAAATTGTATAAGAATTCAACTCCAGAATTTGAAGAATAACACTGCCCAAACATCGAACGCTGAACGTCCAGAGATAGACACTTGGTTGGAATATTAGCTGAGTTCCACCACTTAATCAGGTAATGGCCAAGTTGGGTTGTGAGGCTTAACTTGCTTACTTGGAGGGGTCTTATTTTGGTTGCTACATGCAATAAAGTTTAAGTAATTGTTTCAGTATTTGCACAGGTTCTTAATAAGTAACTGAATTAAACATAGCTTGTGGTGATTGACACACAACACCTTTACCACCTTCTGCACCTTCATGCTCACCTTCAGAATGGTGTACAAGGTCACCCAGGTCTCATTGCACATTCTCCTCTATCAGTTCATAGCTGTTCAGATAATAATCTGCTTTCCTAATTTTGCCATCAAAGTGGATAACCTCACTTTTGTTTGCATTATACTGCATCTGCCATACATTGGCCCACTCACTCAGCTTGTCCACTGAAGAATCTCTGCCTTCTCCTCACAGCTAACCCTCCCACCCAGCTTTGTGTCACCTGAAAATTTGGAGATATATTTAGTTCGCTCATCAAAATCCCTGTGGTACCCAACTAGTTGCTGTTTGGCACTTAGAAAAAGAACCATTTATTCCTACTCCTACATTCAACCGACTGTGGCACCAATGATCCCTAGCAAAACAGGGATTAATGGGTTTCAGGGGGCAAACTCTCCACTGGTTGGAGTCTTACCTGGCCCTTAAAAAGATGGTTGTGATTATTGGAGGTCTGTAATTTAAGCTCCAGGACATCTCTGCAGGAGTTTCTCAGCATAGTGACCTAGGCCCAATCACCTTCAGCTGCTTCATCAATGACCTTCCCTTCATCATAAGATCAGAAGTGGGGATGTTCGCCAATGATTGCACAATGTTCAGCACCATTTGCAACTCTTGGATATTGAAGTAGTTCAAGTTCCAATGCAACGGGATCTGGACAATATCCAGGCTTTGGCTGGCAAGTAGAAAGTAATATTTGCGCAAATGCAAGGCAATGACTATCTCCATATGAGCATATGATATGGGAGCAGAATTTGGCCATTTGGCCCATCAAGTCTACTCTGCTATTCGATCATGGCTGATATGTTTTCACAATCTCATTCTTCTGCCTTCTGCCCATAACTCTTAATCTCCTTATCAGTCAAGAACCTGTTTCTATACTCAATGACTTAACCTCCACAGCCCTCTGTGGCAATGATTTCCACAGATCCACCACCCTCTGGCTAAAGAAATTCCTCCTCATCCCTTCATTCTGAGGCTGTGCCCTCAGGTCCAAGTTTCCCCTACTAGTGGAAATATCTTCTCCACATCCACTCTATCCACGCCTCTCAGTATTCTGTAAGTTTCAATGAGATCTCCCTCATCCTTCTAAACTCTATCAAGTACAGACTCAGAATCCTCAACCGTTCCTTATATGACAAGTCCTTCATCCCCAGTGTCATTCTTTAGACCCCTGCCAGCCATCCTTCCTTAGCTACGCGGCTCAAAACTGCTCATAGTATTCCAAATGTGGTCTGGTCAGCCACATATACAGCTTCAGCAGTACATCTCTACTCTTGTATTCCACCCCTCTTGAAATAAACGCTAACATTACATTTGCCCTTCTAACTGCTAACTCAACCTGAAGGTTAACCTTAAGAGAATCCTAAACTGGGACTCCCATGTGCCTTTGTGCTTCAGATTTCTGAAGCCTTTCCCCATTTAGAAAATTATCTATGCCCCTATTCTTCCTACCAAAGTGCATAACCTCACATTTGCTCATAATGTGTTCTGTCACTTCTTTGTCCAATCTCCTAGGCTGTCCAAGTCCTTCTGCAGCCTCTCTGCATCCTGAACACTGCATATCTTTGTGTCATCTGCAAACATAACAAAAACGCCCTCAGTTCCTTCATCCAGATCAATAATGTATAACGTGAGTAGTTGTGGTGCCAACATGGACCCTTGTGAAGCTCCACGAATCTCCATCCTGAAAAAGATCCCTTTATCCCCACTCTCCACTTTCTGCCAGTCAGCCAATCCTCTATCCATGCCAGTAACTTGCCTGTAACACCATGGACTTTTACTTTATTTAGCAGCCTCCTGTGCAGCACCTTGTCAAAGGCCTTCTTGAAATTCAAATAGATCACAACCACTGGCTTTCTTTTGTCTAACTTGCTTATTACCTCCTCAAAGAATTCTAACATTTGTCAGATATGACCTCACCTTGGTGAAGCTGTGCTGACACAGCCCTATTTTAACTTGCACTTCCAAGTACCCTCTAATCTCGTTCTTAATAATGGACTCTAAAATCTTACCACCCTCCATGTACATGGCAGATACTCATCAGACTTGGCCAATGTTGTCTGTCTCATATGCTGCAGGCAAGGATGCTCTGGGGCATAGTATATTGCTGAGACTGTGCAGACGGTATGACAGTGGATGAATGGACACCACATAACAATCGCCAGATAGGAATGTTCCCTCTCTGTCAGGGAACACTTCAGCAGTCAAGGGCATTCAGCCTCCAATCTTTGGGTAAGTCTCCTCCAAGATGGACTCCAAGATGCACAACAACACAGAATCACTGAGCAGAGACTGATAGCCAAGTTTCG